ATTAAAACCGCTTGAGATACATCAAAGAATTTTCAAACGCCTAAAACTCATAATCTTTCCTATCTATAAAATAAACTATATATCATGGGTTTTATTTTTTTAAATGAATTATTAACGTTTTTGTAAGCAATGGTATGCCCAGGCGGCGCAACCTCGAACATGACGTATTTTCTACCTGGGTGTATCTGAGAAAAATTTTTTTGTTATATGAACATTTTTGTCATCCGAAAATCACGTTAGTTCATTCGTGATAGAAAACAATTGTTCAGTAAAAACTGCAATTTTTACCCCATTTTGTGAGTTCTATTAAATTTTATCGTAAATTTTATATGGAATGTCCAAACGATTAAGGGGTTAAAAATGACGTTTAACACTGGTAGGGTGTCATTTTACAACATTCCATTAAGATTCAGCTGTAGAAAAACTGGCATAGACCTAGAAAAAATGCTTATACGGGCTACAGAGAAATAAAAAGCATCCAAAGTACTTGTTTTTAAATGCTTTTTAAAAAAGAGACGCACAGTTAATGTCGAAATATGTTATTTTAAATTATAATACAATTTATTTTCATTACAAAATAATCATATATATAATATATATATATATATATATATATATATATATATATATATATATATATATATATATATATATATATATATATATATATATATATATATATATAAACAGCACAATATCATCTTTTTTTCACATTTATTTTCCAGACCTATTACATTAAAGATGATATACAGGTCGGCTACCAGAGTTGGGGCCCTGACTAAGCTCCCTCTATAATAAAATATATTATTAGCCCATATAGCACCACGCAGGGTGCCTTATATCTAAATACAATGTCTCACATATTTATTCATATCATATATTCAACAGGTATATTAATTAAATTGCATAACATATAAAAACAAACAATGTCTATCCGGATTCAATTTTGGTTCTAAATTTCTCGTTCGTATGTACAATCCGGTGTGATTCATGAATGTGTTGCAATAATGAATGAAAGGAAAAGAAAAAAAAACATTGAAGTTAATTTAACGCTGGAGTGTGGAAAACATTTAAGAATTGAAAAATTGATTTCATTTCTTTCGTGAATGCTTTTTGGAGCAACTTTTTTATCTTCATACTTGATATATCATCAAAATTTATGAACCTATTTGTTTTCCTAACAATTAAAAAATTACCAAACAATACACAATATCATCTTATTCACATGTATCTGGTATAAGTTGACTTTACACAATGCTTCCTGGTTAGAAAATTATTCGAGGGTAAAACACGTTCACACAAATCAGTTGACTATCGTTTACCAATCACCAAAAACATTTTTGAAAAAGCTCACACCAATTTCAAGTTAAGTGTACTCCTCTAATTTTGAGGCATACCTAATTTGCTCTGCCGTCTCCTTAGTGAATTTACATGCAATAAAACAGGTGACATTCACCATGTTATCGGCATTAACAATATGTAACGAGAAATCCCGACATGAATTTGTTGAAATAAGTCGAAGAGCATTTAGTCTTGCAAAAATTATCTATTCATCATATCACAACATAACTGGCTCTGAAATTAATATAAAACTTACAATAACATTAGAATCGTACAATAAAATATAATGGGAGATATACTTAGGAATCATTATACAAATAGTGTTGTAAATAAATATTTCACTCTATGGAATTTAATACGCTCTACATGTGTAAAGGGAAATAACTCTTACAAGCTTAATCTTTAAAATCACTTTCCACAATCGTGAAGAGTTATCTTTCTTATATAATAAAATAACAAAATACCAATGCATACCGGTTTATGGAACCAAGTCCATCTGACAAACTGTATGGGTCTTTCAAATATGATGATACACTATATAATTAATAATAAATTCCTAAAGATATACTCTTTACAATAACTATGTATTTACAAAGAAATACCAAAATATTTCTTATGAAAATATTTATCCATATACATTTATTAGGATCTAGATATATTAAACTTAATAGCAATATCAGGATTTATCCATATCTGATTTAATCATAAGTATAACATATTCTATACACATAATTTTTACCAAGTAAAAAATTCTTAGTTTCTCATGTATATTTTATTCTAATTAATTAGATTAAAAGGTTAAAATATGAGTACTTACATTTCTGTCTCTGTCCAGGAATTTAATGTCAGGAATAAAATAATCACAATACTGTAGATTTCAATAAATTCAGTAATTCATCAGAAAAACTTCTGCATGTCTACATGACTATGATATTTAAATCTGAGTAATATTCACCCTCTGGACAATGTAAAACTTCTTAACCAATGGAATGCAAGTGTACAACCAATGAATGAGTGTAGGTATGAAATGTGTAGGTGGATCTAAAGGGATGGGTGGTATAACTTAATACTTTATTAGTAATAGAAAGACTTTATATTTTATTTATTTATTTAACTATTTTAAATTAATTATATTTATTTATCATTTATTAAATTATTTATTAAAATATACATCTACTACAAATATACAAGTTGTATTCGATCTAGAAAAATTCTTGTTTGATAATACTGATATAATGATAAGTTATTTGACCTTAGATTGCACCTTTTTGGGTTCACCAACCCAAAGATTCAGGTAGAGATACATATGTTTGCAAGCTACACGAGACCATGCAATTTCTCCTAGATTCACTTCACCATTTGAAATGTCTTCCCTCAAAAAGATCGAGGGAAATACTAAAAGCTAAGATGCATACATGTAACAGTAATCAAATTGACTGTATGTATGAAAAATGCCCCAAATTCAAGGATGTTCGAATTCATCGTCCAACAGAAACTGACAATACCGTAGAAACTACTTGGTTTCAGTGGACCACCAAGAAAGAAAAGAGACTGATCAGGAACCAAGAGAAGGAAATGAAAGTAACAGGAATGGAATGGATATCTGGGCGTCTAGGTTTGTTAGTTGATATATATTGTAGTGAAATGCAGAGATGAAAAACAAGGAGGAAATGAGGAGGTATTCGGAGCGAAAGATGAAAAAACGGAACAAATTAAAGTGAACAGGACATGTCAAAGAGCATTGAAAAGGATCGTTTGATGGCAATATGAATGAGAATGATGCGAAACACAGTCACAGAGGAAGTGCTAACGATCAAAGAAGAGGAGATTCATGACAAATGAGAAAACAAACTCAAGTGAAATAGAAGATGAAGTACAGGAAAAATCAGAAACTTCAACTATTGACGAAAAGAGTATTCTCGATTTCGATCCTAATGATGCATTACAATCAGATTTAGCCAATAAATACATGTATGTGCTTGTTAATTACTAGAACAAGACACATCCTGGCAAAGTGATTGATTGTGATGAAGGGGAAGTATGTCACCTGCGCAGAGTAGGAAGAACTTTAAAAACTTGCACCTTTCATTGGCCACTCGCAGTCAAAGATGAGTGCTGGTACAGCATTGACAAAACAATTGAATTCATTCCGGAACCCAAACTTGTAGGTCAAAAGTATTACGTTGAAAAAAATTTGTGGGAACGTGCTCTAAAAAACTTATCTTTAAACATATACAGTATATGAATATCATGATCCCAACCTTGAAATTTACTTTTATAGTAAATGACATAGACAATTTCATCTATAATTTATGTCAGAGTAAAGAAAAGATAATACTATCATGCTCACTTTAAAAATATGGACACAAAAATCTTTAATTCATCTCAATAAAACATCAAAAAAATGCACAATTTATGGTTCACACAGGAATCGGACACAAGTATTAACAACTTATATTTATCCGTTTCCTTAAATAAAATTTCAATTATAAATGTACGTATTACGGAAGCCGGTTGGTGCCAGGTAGAAAAAATATTTTATCTGGCGGCCGCCAAATAATTATCTGGCGGCCGCCAGATAAATAACTGGCGGCCGCCAGAAAGTTATCTGGCGGCTGCCAAATAATTTTCTGGCGGCCGCCAGATAAAAAGATCTGGCGGCCGCCAGATAAATTATCTGGCGGCCGCCAGAAAATCATTTGGCGGCCGCCAGTTATTTATCTGGCGGCCGCCAGAAAGTTATCTGGCGGCCGCCAGATAAAATATTTTTCTACCTGGCACCTACCGGCTTCTGTAACATTTACCTTCGTTGGATAACACGTATAATTATCATAGTAATAATAATGGAAAAAAATGAAGAAAAATAAAAGAAAAAAAAATATAGTAAATGAATAAAGTACTTGAGTAATATATATATACAAAATTTATTGATATATCAGCTGATCGGAGATTTAAAAAAATACCTTAATTTCAAATGTGGGCCTATACCTACAGAGGTCAAGAATTTATGATACGCATGGTAGCGTTAAAGGTCTGCCAATAATTAATACATTTAAGTTAGTACTTGTAAAAATAATAGTTGTCCTTTGAGCTGTGAGTTATAATTAGGTACTCATTCAATGAATGTCTCACTGTATGACCCTATCGGATTATGATGTCAACAAGTTTTAGTCATGTGTGATAATGTACATGCATACACGTCGTAGATTCTTCACCATCTCGTCTGTCCTTCGATGGCTCTGTTACCGGTATCGGATTTCGCTCTTTCCCGAGTTTTCAGGCGCCTATTGAGTACAAACTGGATAATTCCAGAAAGAACAATAATCAGCCAGCAAATGGTACAAATCCATGATGCAATCTGAAATAGAAGAGAAAAAAAATTTGGGGGCAGCTTCATTATTGTTCTTCACAAAAAATGATTCTCGGTTAAATATTGAAAAAAATATTAAAGGCTGTTTAATTTCACATAAAGCGCTTCTTTTTTGTTCCACTAGTAAAATTAAGTTGACTAATGTACCAGTCCTTTTTGTTAAGTTGCGTGTAGGTAGAAACAAATAAGTTTAAATTCATGGGTAGATCTAGGCTTTTTGTTAACAAAAAGGGGGGGGGGGGTAAAAATACAAAGCAACAGATACTCACAATTGTTTTATTAATAATAAGTGGTTTTTCATGTTATACAAAATTATTTTAAGTAGACTGGACTTGAATGCACCCCCTCCTTTTAATCCTCAGCTGAAAATTTAGAGAACCATCAAAAGTGTTATTGGAGTATGGCATACTACAGAAAATTATACACAAGGTTGTTTTTGGCTAAAATTTAATGGCAACGGCAATTTTTTTTCAATCAAATGTTTATATATATGACAGTAAACTCCAGTTTTGTCCTTAAGTGCTGGGGGCAAGACTAAATTTGACTTGTATAGTAAATATTTCACGAGAACTTTATTTAACCCAAACATATGATGTATTTATTAGTCTTTATCACAATTTATACAAAGTAGGCAATTCAACATACAGACTTTCGGGTTTGATACGTTTATGAAAGGAATTTAGGGTTTTCTTTTTTTTAACTTGTCAATAAACTTTTGGTTGGAAATTGTTTGACGGGGGTGGACCCCTCCCCCTTCAAAATAATTCCTGGATCCGCCCCTGCACTTCTCTAATATATTCACACAGAATATCTCCAATACGATAGGTATGAGCATGTTTTTCGTACAAACAATTTTTAAAGAGTTAGATTACTGACAAATAAGTCAACGATACAAAGATAGCTTTACTTCTTTTATAGTCAACATTTTGCACATTCTATGGTCGAAACAATGACGCTGCTCGCAAATTCAGTCTGTCGTACGGTCAAATGTTGTCTGACGTCTTTTATTCAAATTGTAAGGCCACCATTTTCATACTGATTTCACTATTGATTCTTCCATATTCTAGTACCAAATCATGACAAAGGGAACATGGCGGGTGTGTTCGGTAGACAGTGGATGTTTTCTTCTCCAATAGCACCTGATCCAATCTCTGATGTTTTTCCATGTTACCTTTACTTACAATTTTGGGGTTCTTAAGGTGAATTTCAGCACGATATACTGTTCGTTATCTTTACATTTCTTGTTTAATTAAACGAGATTTTTTATACCCTTAAGGACAGACGATACGTTCCTCAATAATGTATAATTTTTTCTAAGATTTTGTCATAGAAGTATTGCTACTTTAACATGTTTACTCGCACAAAATTGAGGTACCTTACCAGGCATTTGTGCAAGATACCAGAGGATGTTTTTCCTATAAAATCCTTTTGGAAAAAAACTTAATTAGCCAATAACACATTTTTTGGTGTTTCATTTTTTAAGACAATTAGAAACCAGTTTAGAAATCAGAAGGTAATTTAAATTTTGAATATTTTCCACATAATTCGAAGGTATACAAAACAGATATTTGAGGAACGTATCGTCTGACCTTAAGGTTGTATCATGAACATCATATTTGTTGGTATCCGACATTGGTTTAGAAATTGTTCATGCTCTTGTGTATTGAATATACTTGCTGACATAAACACCTTATGCAGGTAATAAAGATTTTGCTACATAAATAAGGGAGTTGACAAAAGAAATGTTGAAGTTCTCAATTCACCATACAGTACAGTTGTTAATTTATCATCAATCTCTTTCTCAACATATTGCTGGGAAAGCCAATTCTTTTAAAATCTGATTTAGTTAATACTGTTTAGTAGGCTCGATTACCTGAGAAACATTTATCAAGGTATAGAAGCGCCCTGTAGAACTTATTTCTTTTGTTATCGGCGACTCAAGCTTCTGGTTTTCTGCCTCTATACAACTGAAAAATATAGATTCCAAGTTAGCACCGAATAAAAAGGGTTAGCCTGCCTACGTCTTTGTTTGGAAGATGAAAATACTCTAGCCTTCTACAAAATACACAGTCTCGCCTCGCTATAATCCGGACATCTAATCGTGCAATAAAAGTACGTTATTACCTGTTGCCATATTATATTCTGTTGAATAAAAAATCGGTTAAATCAAATCTTACTCCAGTGGATTCATTGAGAGAGAGAGAGAGAGAGAGAGAGAGAGAGAGAGTTTTACTCTTACCTGGGATAGTACTTGTATTTTCCTTTCGTCATTGAGTCACAAATTTCTTTAAAACCAACACTGATCATGCAGGAGGCGACAAGCATAATAACTGTTACCAATGAGTTAAGCATTATAAATGGGACCACCCACATCTTGGACCTAAATATAAAATAGGGTTTCAATACAGAATCATAAAAACTGATGAAGCACATCTCTGGCCCGAGAACAAAGTAGGATTTCATTTATGCCATCTAAATGGCATTAACCCTATCTGAGACCATTAAAAATATCTGAGGCCTAGAAAATCGTCTCATATACTAAATAGTAAATACACCGATTCTGCACTGTGCGTTACGGCTGACGTCAAAATATCCCATATCAAGGGCCGGTCCAAAAATCCATATCACGTACCGGACCGACGCGCGAAAATACGTATAAAACCGGAAGTAAGGTTTGTATAACGTTTAAAAGTTAATTAAGTTGATTTTATTTAAATACGAGTATACCGGTTAAATAATTCTTTGCAGACATTTGTGGACTTAATATGTTTTCAAAGAAATTGGCTCTGTGCAATTTCAAAGAAAAAGTTCATAAACATGTATGAAACATTCTTAAATGACTTTATGTGAACTCGTATTTTGAATATATGATAAATAGAATACTACATACTGAAATCCATATCATATGTCATACATGTATCAGCCCTCGTATATACATTTGGGACCTAAAATAGTTGTCTTAAAAGGGCATAAAAACGACATCACACAGAACTTGAACCCCGTAAAAGATACTACTGAAAACTCATGTGAAGCTAAAATTTGTATGATTCATGTACGTCTGCACTAACATAAGAGACTACAGATTGAAATGAAATATTATTTAGGAGGACATTCTAAGCGAGAATTTTATTTCAATTTTTCCATCGTCAACCTCCCTTATTAATGTATACGAAGCAATATACCATTTTCACCTGCAAATGGAGTTTCTGTCTCCCAGTTTATTCGAATGATTTGATACGCAAGAGCATGTTCTACATATGAACAGTTCTAAAACGAGGCAAGCTACTAACAAAAAGGTTGATGTTGCAAGAATATCAACAGTTGCGTTTTAAGTTATTTGTTTATTTTTTTCCATTTATGTTTTTCCTTTTTATTGAAATAAAAAAAAACAAAAAAAAAATTGAATTCGTTTTCTGAATTTTCTTCACATTTTTATAATTAGATATTTAAAATATAATAAACATTCTTAATCATTTAAGTGCCGCATCTGAAATCAAAATATTTTTTATATTTTTTTTCTATAAAAACAATAGAAAAACAATAAAATGGTATACAATTTATATCATTATTTCGATTGTGAAATCATAGTTCTAAAAGAATAAAACAAAATTTAAAAACACATGAAATAAAACTTTTAGTCCTCCTTAAAGTTAGGAGAGAGAGAGAGAGAGACTCACACAATGGATGAGTCCTTCTGGGATTTATAAATGGTGTATGAGTTGTAAATCGCCATCCCAAGGGCGTAAAAGATGCAAAATATTACACCACTATAGATCGGAAATTCACAGTTGGATGCGTTGCTAAATACCAATAAATACGTGTATTTAGTTGGACCGCGAGGTTTGAGCGTGGAGTACAGCAAACATTTCTCTGAATTAATCTGCAAAAGGAAATACAATGAAATAAAAAGAATGGTATACGTTAAAGGAGTTTGATGTCTTGACAAGTTTTAAACAGAAAAATGCTTTCTTTGGTTATTAGTACGGGAATTAATGTCGCAGCTTAAGCGGGTTATGTAATTTTTTCTGCAATAACTGCGCCGTTAATTCCCGTACTAACAAACAAAGAAAGACATTTTATTGTTATATTTATATCTGTAAAAAAACATTTAAAGTAAAATTAAATATGCTAAATATTGTATTGTGGATGTGTATTCATTGCATGCATAATTGATGGAAGAGCCGTTGCTCAAGAAATCTTTCCAGGTGGCTTGCTTATTGGCGTTTACTGACTGATAAACGACAATGGTTTTCAGAAGAAGTAAGGAAATAATATTTAGTAGATGTAAATAAAAAAAGAAATAATGGGCACTATTTTGCAATATTTTAAATCAGTCTACATGCCAGTGTATCGAATCGGTGTTTTTATGTTGGTAGGCCTACAATATTTGTTACTCTTTTTTAATTTTTTTTAATTTTTGAATTTTTTCATAGGGTTCTTAGGAGCAGATCATGGATTTTCACTCATCAAGGATTTCCTTATTAATACAGAGGACTTACGGTGGGTGTGACAGGTCGACTGGGGATGTATATTCATCCTAGGTACCTAATCTCACCTCTGATGTTTCCAGGAATCCCTGTTTTGTTCACGATTTGTTTTTCTTACTGCCTTTGTGTGATTGACCGACCACTGTTCGTTATCTCACATGTTTTATTCTAGACTTCATAACAGCTAAATGTGAATTAATATGAAAAGAAATATATAAATGTTCCTGAGAAATATACTAAGTACTGTAGATTGGAAATTTTATACAATAGTTCATTTTCACTTTTTTCAATACTTGTCATATCTCCGTGAAATTAAATTGTGAATAGAGGCATCAGATCATACAATAAAGTACTTGTCGCAAAACACATGTCTTAAGCGTGATTTTAAAACCATTGCGAATTGTTTCCTTGTACCAATTCGTGAAATTCTAGCAACATGGAATTAAAACGACTAAATTATAAATTCACCCATAAATGAACATGTTTCAGCTTTAGACGTTTAACGAAATTTACTGCACACTTTACCTTGTAAATTACTTGAAATGGATACTTACACGAGAAACTCCCAGTGGTATGGAAATCGCAAATCCACAAACAAAAATAACAAAATAAACAAATGTGTTAACCAACAACGGAAGGTTTGATACATCCATGTTGCTCTTTACCCAAAAAATAACTGACCATCAAATGCAGTCATTGTTTTCTTATTATATAGCAATCATGTAAATTAGGGGGCATGTTTATCAAGGTTGGAAAAAATTATATTACTAGGAGACGGAAACAGAGATATAACAGTGTCAGATCTTTTTTACACTTTCGCTCTCACAGCTGTAAATTTATACTAACGACAAGTATTGTAAGTTTCCTTTCCCTTGATATATCTTTTAAAATCTACAATCTCTAACTGGAAATCTAGGATCAACTCAAATGTATTATATAATTTGATACGAATATACAAAAACATTAGCTTCATGGATTGCAGAGCAGGTTAAGCCTACCGAATCAATTCAATTGTACAAGTTGGTAAAAGCTGAAGAAAACCAACAGTGACTATGCTCATAATGGCAATTAAACATTTCGAGTTGAAAGCAGAGCAAAAACGGGTTCCTGTAAACATTAAATGTGGCGTTAGGTGCCATGGAGGAGTAAGCATCCTCTATAGCCTGGTTCCCTGTCCCTGTTATGCTTTGTATACTCCGAGACACTAGGCTTGGCAAGGATGACCCAGGGAACCAGTCTAGCATCCTCTATAGACCGGTCACACTCACCGTGAGCCTTTTGAGTTGATCGGGTTAACAGAAGATTGAAATATATGGAGATAACGAACAGTATTCGAGTTCAAAAGTCCACTAAACATTACAAAATAGAGGCAGAGCAAACACGGACCACTAAGACATCAGAGGTGGGATCAGTGCCATGGAGGAGTGAGCATCCAAAAATCATAAACTATAATCCCGGATCTCATAAAAGAAAATGAACTACCTTTAAGCAAGAGAAAATCCAGAAAGAACGTTTGTCCATATATTTCATGAGCAAATGGTCAAGGAAAAAGTTTCAAAGCGGAAAACAAAACACCCTTAAAGCAAACGGTGGGGTTTTTCTTAGAAAGAGAACCTGCATGATGGAGTATGTCAAAAAATGACTAAATTCAAAATAAGGTACCTGTCCATACCTTCTAGGTCAAAACTTAGAATTGAGGGACGGATGGAACTTTTACACTCCTCACTCCCCTACAAATGTATAACATGGAATTTATCCAGTTCATATGAATGCAATTTTATGGCTATGGGAAACTGCAATTCAAACAGGCAAAGTGTATACACAATCTATCATAGAAAACTTTCCAGTGGCAACAATTTTTAAACCATACTATCAATATACATGTAACTGAGTAAACAGAAACATTATTAAAACTGCGATATCTTGTTTTTCATAAAATTGTTTGGAAGCACAAATCTGGTGCATCAAAATTGGTACCGTATATTATTTACAAGGTAAAGTAAGCATCCCCTGTCAAGCGGTCACACCCGTCGTGTGCTCCTTGTCATGATCGGGTAAACGAAAAGACAATTTAGTGTGAAATTAAATAATGACTTAACAATTTGTTTGAAAAAAGTCATTCAGCATTCAATTTACAATAGATTGTATTTGCTGACAAGGTCATTGTAGCGACCTTTGAATTTGTGAAATGTTGACCTTAAAGGAAACTGTTCTTATCTTTGTATCATCAACTTTTTTATCAATGGCTTGCATCGTTTAAAAAAATTGTTCTTGTGTATTGAATCAACGTGTAGACATAAACTGCATATGCAGGTAATTGTGGTACAGTTTGTATATTGCTACATAAATGACGGAAGTTAACGATACAAAAATTGAATACATCACGTTTATCATAAATTTTAGTTGCCACAGCAAGAGACTTCTTCTTTTCATGAAGAAGTTTTTTGAATAATTTCTACTTCATATGACTACAAAAACAGGTCTGCTTATAACGAGTGCATTAAGTACCTATAGTAATTCGAACAGAATTGTTAGAAATCCTGATCACCGAAAACTACATAAGTGGCGCCTCGTTTATCCAGACGCCTCTGTCCCCAACGAAATCGTCTGGATAAATGAATCGTCCGGATAATTGATTCACATCGCAAAAAGCACTCTCTATGCATGTATATATATGCACATTCTTGTTTCAAATGTGACAGCAAAGAAAAAAAAACTTTTAAATTGTATTTTGGTTGATTGTTTTAAAAGCAGTAATTGATTAATGAAAAAATATATTAAAATGTAATTTGCACAATAAAAAAATGGATGGGCAATTTTATGCCGAGACCTCCTTTTTTAATTCGCCTTCTCGTTGGCATGCGACTTCATGGGTTGAGCAAATTTTGATCTACTGATGTTTTATTTTGCCATATATTATAATTATTGAAGCTCATATGATATGACAGAACTGTTCAGCATCATCATTGAAAATGTTCAAATATAAATTAACCCTGTATATTCCCGTATATTCATTACACAGGGTTACTATAAAATTAACTGAACACTGCAAACTAACTCAAACAAAGTATAAAAAACATTCGTAAACACAAGCCATCTTCATGATTATCAATATTATTTTTTTCTACTGCCGATAAGTGAATTTCGATCATTAAAAAATACCTTGAAAAACGTAATCAACTTCTGTACGTAACGCCAGTTTTATATGTAATGGACGTTTGTAAACGGTAGTACATTAAATAGAGATATTTCTTCAATTATGTACCTTTCTACACTGTCTTGTGGGGAAAAAAGCGTTTCAAATATATTTACGTTTTTTAGAAGTGGAACATCGTATTTCAAACAAACGCAATCGACATGATAAAGAGCATTACGAAATCGCTCGTTAGTTATTGTTCATTTTATTTACAACACTCCAAAATTCCGAATTTACCGATGTATATACGGTTAGCAATATGTTTTTGAACGGATTATTATTTAATTTATGCACAGGGTCAGCTAAATTCTTTGAGCTTCATAATAAAGATGTAAATGTGTGATTGAATTGGGGTAAACACACGCTAATTATAGACGCTATTGTTTGTAGGTCACAGGTAACCGCCTTCAAAATGACTGCATGACCAATGTTTTTACAATTAACACGAATGCAAGATAGGTGTGAAAATGTCGTTTCTTGAAAAATTACCCTCCGGATAAACGAGTCATTTTTCAATGAACTATTATGTTTTGTAGTAGAAATTGACCGTCCGGCGGATACGGAACGCGAATTTCCGGATTAATGAGACAAAATAACGTGGAAAAAATCGGTTCCCCAAAAATATCGTCCGGATGATGAAGCGTCCGGATAATTGGCGTCCGGATTAACGCGGCGCCACTGTATTATAAACTATCAATCAGAAATATAAACCTCGGAGTACTTATGTGTAAAATCAATGTTTGTAAAAAAATAATTTTGCAGATGACCAATGACAAGGTAGGTAAAGAAGAAAGTACGTTATGTACCAAAATCGGCCCTGTCCCCAAATCTGTCGAAGATTTTTTTTGAAGCATGTCTAAGATGTCCTCTTTTTAATTCAGCTTAATTTTTTAAATTATCTCAACTCAATTTTCCTACAACGCTGTCTGAATATAGATAGTTTCTTTGGAAAATAACACCATGACGTTATGACTTCAACCTAGCGACACTACACAAATACGAGGGTTGTTGGAAAGTTCGTTATATTACTTTCAAGAAATATTAAAAAAGAAACATTTTCTTATATGAAATAGTTATTTTGTTGATATGTGAAGTTTCATTCCATCCGATTTAACAGAAATCAATTTACTTAATTTTTAAAA